TTCCGAATCCATCCTTAAACCGCACACTGGGTGTGCGACACCCGGGGACTTTAATGTGTGTTCTCCAAGCTGGAAAAGGATATTATGGTTCAGAAAAATTATCTTCTGTAGCTCAGTACATCTATTTTGAAGGAAAATAAGTTTCATAATGATTTATTTAATCTTAATAATTAAAAAACTCGGGAATCAAGGGTAATGAAAGAGTAGACGTCTTGGCGAAAACCGGTTCCGAGACGAAATTTATAGGTCCTGAACCAGCAGTGGCAATAATGCCATGCTTGGTTAAGGGAGCCATAGGAAGATGGGGTAAAAAGGAACATGAGAAGTATTGGGCGAGCGTTGGGTTGGGAAGGCAAGCGAAAACTCTGTTGGGGTTAGCACTCAACAGGAGGCGAGCGAGCGATCTCCTAAAACTCGATAAGATCAGAGTTAGAACCGTAGTTCGCCTACTTACGGGTCATGGACTATTGAACTACCATCAGCATAAAATAGACAGACGAGCTTCACCTATGTGCAGACTGTGTGGGGAAAGCAACGAAACTTCGACTCACATATTATCTGAATGCCCAGCGTTAGCTAGGATCAGGCTATCTAGCTGGGGTCAAGCAATTATTGACCCTAAGCAGGTAAGCAACCTATCGATAGAAGAGATACTGGACTTCTGGAAAAAAACAGGACTCTAAGAAGTTGCTATAAACGAGCGAACTGGAGTTTGGTACAATGGGTTCTATAACCTAGGTGCTTACTTTCCCCTCTTGAGGAAAATCCAGCTCGATCTCGGTGTCAGATTAGATTAGATTAGATTTACAAAAATATCCTGATTTAATGATTGGTATGTCTTTGGGCCGTGCGCGTGTACCCGTACCGATAATTCTCGACGGTAGTGTATTAATCCATGAAGTATTATATTTTACAATAGTTAAACTTTCTTGTTAAGTCTCGTCAATATTTGTCTAAAGTCGTAAAAAAATTCTAAAAATAATTAAGTTTATTAACGAATCGTTATAATTTCGCGCTTCGATAACTCGTAAATCGATATATTGAAAGTTAACGAGCGAGACGGCAGTCGCTCGTAACCGCAGGACGCGAGTGGCGCCATCTAGCGCTGGTCGCCGGTCACACAGAGACTCTGAGAATGCTTCTTGTTTGAAAAAAGTGATGTGTGCTCCGAGGGTTGAGGATGTCCAAGAAAGAGTTTTCTAGCTTAATAAGAACCAAAGTTATGACCGTTTAAAAATTACTCTTTTTGATTTTCTTTCTTATATATGAAAAAAGAAAATATGCTAATTAAGTAAAAGAAGGCATTCTTATGTATTATATTTTGAAAAGAGGAAGAAAATACATGGTCAAATTTGAAAAGAGATATTATCAAACAATATCTTGTTGCATATAAATATGTAGCAGAATTCTATTAAAAATAATAGTTAGAATATGCATGTGGGCAAAAGTACCTTATAGCCACTGTGATCAAAAACCATTTATTATATTTTTACTACTTTATCTATTTAATAGACACAATAATTGCTTTTTGTAGTTATGTTACGTATACAAAATATATTTAAGTAATGATTTTGAAAAGACAAATAACTATTAGCACATTTTTAATATAAATAAAAATTGAATATTTTAACTCTCCTTTGCTCTCAATGCTTTAAACCTACTTTTGCTTGCATAGATATTATACATATGGGTGATTTTCACGTAACTGTGCAATTTCAAAATCAGTTTTAAAAGAAAAAAAATTTTGTTTTCTTAATGTTAAACATCACTTTTCCTCATCATTTTTTCATCATGCATAATATAGTTGTAATTTGAACGGTTTTACTACAGCTATAATTATAAAAAAATTATAACAAATTTTCGAAAATTGGCTGCCACGGAGCTGACCAACTGGGGCTATTTTATGTACGCGAGGTATTTAATAAATAAAATTATTAAAAAGAACTTCTTTGTCAAAAAACCATAAATAAGTAAATTAAAATCCTAAAAACGGTTAAAACTTTAACCGGTGAGCAACATAACGGCAAAAAATTAACTTTAATTAATATTTATAAGTTTTTCAAATTAGTTTTAAAATTATTTCTCTAATAACTTGAAAAGTGTATTAGATATTAAATTGTTATTCATTTAACCTTAAAATATTGATTTAAAGTTTTTAAAAAATATCATATTCAAAACGTTTAAAAAAGCTCCTATTAAAATGATGATTCAAAGTTATTTACATGCATGTAACATTTAAACACATGTGTTTAAATGATAGTATTATAATTATCATAATGTATTATTGTAAAATGTATATTTAAAAAGAAAAAGTGTTATTTATTTTCTGAGTAATATAAAATTTGAAGAAAGGTTATTAATTTTTAATAAATCATGATTTTAGCAAAATCTTAGTGTTTTATTTTACATTTTGTTGTATAATATTTACAACAATTTTTTAAATATCTCATTCTTTTTTTAATTCTCTCTGAAATACACTACCATCCACGAGTATCAGGACGATTACAAGCGACTCTTTAAAAAAACATGCCATTACTTTTTCAATCATATGTCGTAAATAAAAGGCGATACAAAAAAATCTTAAATACGGTTAGAAAGCTGATTAAATTTTGCGTAAAATAAGCCGTCTTTGAAGTCATTTCATTAACTATTTTTTGAGTTATAAAGTGAGAAAGAAATAAAGAAAATTATCAAATTTTCTCATTTTTGTCTCTTGACTTCAACTTTTTCAAAAAACTAGAAAAATTTAGATAAAATTTTTCTAAAAACACAGAAATCTTGGTTAGAATTTCAGCTTTAAAATAAGCCTTCGAAAATTAAAAAAGGTTAATCCGTCTTCTATATATCATTAAAAATGTGAAGCCGTGTTTCGACGATTGGTGCATTGGAATTTAACTGTGACGACTCGATTCTAGCTTCGCGTGGCTGTAAATAAGAGAGAAAAGAGGGACGGATTCATGCTGGGGAATAATAAATAATGATGTTTCATAAGTAATATTAAGAAACTCGAAAGTTCATCGTTCCCCGCATGAATTCGTCCCTGCTTTCTCTCTCATTCCCAGCCGCGCGAAGCCAGAATCAAGATTTTTGAAAAAGTTGAAGTCAAGAGACAAAAATGAGAAAATTTAAAATTTTTTTTTATTTCTTTCTCACTCTAGAACTCAAAAAATAGTTAACGAAATGACTTCAAAGACGGCCTATTTTACGCAAAATTTAATCAGCTTTCTAACCGTATTTAAGATTTTTTTTGTATTTCCTTTTATTTACGAGATATGATTGAAAAAGTGATGGCATGTTTTTTCATAGAGTCGCGTGTAATCGTCCTGATACTCGTGGACGGTAGTGTATCTACACAAAAGATTTAATGAAGGAGAAAGGATAAAAAAAATGTTTACGTAACATTATAAAAAGACAAAGTTCGATGCACAAAGTAGCCCCAACCCGCGGTCTATTTTGTGCACAACTTTTAATGACTACAACTCCGACAAAAAAATTTATTTCATTGCCTAACTCATAGAAAACCTTCAGAAGGAAGTCCATAACATATGTCAAAAGTTTATTTTCTTTTAATTCTGAATTTGAATAAAGCATTAAGTTAAAAAAAGCATTTTGATGCACAAAATAGTCCCAGCAAAAATATTTACTATCAGCTTGACATAACGAGAGAATTACATTTACATAATATTATGAAATTAGCGCATAAAACTAATTTCAAAAAAGTATTCACCAATAAGAGCGTTACGATCAACAGTAATACTGTGCTTCTGCTTGGTTGACATAAAGACATTTTAAATTAAGCACCAAAAGTAAATGCTTTTTTTTGAATATTAAGGTATTTTTTAATGAGTCGACGGTTGCCGAAGCACTGAAATGTAAAAGGACACAACTATGTCTGTCCTCTTCTATAATATGTGTTGTTGTAGCAACTGTTGAATCATGAATTTGCACCTTCACACTGTACGCCACAGGCGCCACGGAACTGACATTTTATGTGACACCACGGAGCTGACATTTGACATTTAAACTAACCTAACTCCGATAATTTTGCAAAATAATTCTCTTCTTTGGGCAAATAATTTGTTTCTAATATAATCTTTAAAAAAATCGAAAAAATTACCACAGAGAGTGTTTAGATTAAAAGAATAGTAATATCACGGTACTGACCATTTTTTTGTGAACTTCACATTTTTACAAAAAAAATTGTTTTTAAGTGTAGCACTTCCAATTTTAGAACTTTTTTTACTGATATTTGTTGTTAATGGATCCTATTTTAGATTGTAATTCTCAGCTAACATTAAGATGTGCCATAAACACTTAAATTCTATGAAAAAAAATCTTATTACAAAATTGAAAAAATTTGTGGACAAAACTATTTTACATAATTTATAATTTTATAAGAAGTATTAGAAGATGCATTATATGCACAAAGTGTTCACCTATATACACAATTCATATTATAAAAATGCTCGTTTCCAGTTTCGACGTTTTCAGTAAAATTTCTGAATTTTAACTTAAAATTTAAAAAAACGGACACGCCACGGAGCTAGAATTTTGGAGGGAATTCCGCAATTTATCAAAAATTATAATATCTATTTGTACATATTTGTAGTTGCGAATAGGTTTTATATATACCTGTAAAATGTATCCACACTTAAGTAAAAATTTTTTATTTTGAAAGTGTTTTCTGTGATGACACCAAATATTACAGTTATGTGAAAATCACCCATATGTGAAAAGACACGAGAAAAGAGACCTATCGCCGCAAATAAGAATTCTACAAGGGAAGCGTTTAAAGCGACGCCATGAACAGAAAACCAGTGTATTTATAAGGAAATGCTTAACTTTAAAGCTTTATATTATTTATACTATTTAAGTTTTTCAACTTATGATTTTTTCACGTGAAAGAGAAAATGAATGAATGTTTTTTAACGATAGTTCTCTTTCCTCGTGTCGCGTCACATATTATCATTGAAATTAAATATTTTTTACAAACATTGTACCTGGTATTGTTCGCCGTTCTACTCGATCAGCATAATATCCAGAAGTAACATTTCCCAACAAACAAACTGCGTTGATAATTAATGTATTTATAAAGACCTGTTCGTTTATTCCAGTGCAGGAAAGATTATATTTACTTATATTTGAAACATCAATTTTATTTGCGTCATTTATTAATTCGCAGACAGACACAGAACTATTTGGATGATGTTTGTAATAAGTCTCAAAGCGGTTAAACAATTCTGGTAACCACAATCCAAGACCGTAATAACTGCACACGTATGAAAATAGAAAAATGTATGAACACAAAATAAAATTAGGAAAATATGCAATATATTATAGACAATAATTAAGGTTTACATAACACTATTTCCTTCATTTCAATTATCATGTAACTCTTTTTCCACGAAAAGGACATAAGGGGTAAGTATGTAATAGTTGACACCGCATGTAAATGACTAAATTAATAGCATATGTTTTTACCCATATGAGTATAACATTTTGAAAGTATAAATTCGAAACTCGCTGTTTTGAGGCAGTTATGGAAAAAAAGGGAAAAACTCATTTGTCTCGAAAATTATTCAACCGATTATAATTAGCTTCAGATATTTAAAAAATATAAAACTTTATACAAAAAAATTTTATTTGAAAAAAGTAAACAAATGTTTGTTTTAATGGTTTTCTAAAGTTACACATCTGATTTTTTTTAATCTAGGACAATCCACGTCAACAAGGACAGAGCTAGAAACAAAAATTGTCTGGATGGATTTAAATGATCAATGGCTTAAAATATTCCTACATTCGCGTACGTTATGCTGATGGGCGTTTTTAAAATAAAATTAAATGGTGATGACATTACGGCTGTCGATTGCAAATTCAAGATAGATAGTGTAGCAACCAGAACTTTGTATGTTCTAATGATAAAAAATTATTTTAAAATGTAAATTTAAGAATCGAAAAATGTTTCGGAAAATTACAAGGTCTATTTCAGAAAAAAATATAACCCCAATTGAATCGAATAATAAGACGGAATTAGTAAAGGTTCGATTTTAAATTTATTTCCTGAAGATTTATTTCTAGGTTAGATTTCTCGAAAGCATATGGAATTACGTTTAAGTTAAAAATAGAAATTAGTTCTTCGTAAATGATCCTTAAAAAACTTTTGATTTTGAAACTACAGATTGGTATCCTAGCAAATATTTTGGCATGAACGAATTAGATACAGAAGAATAAAACAATTTTAAAGAATTAATTAATTAATTTTCTTTAGACCAAGGTAAACCTTGTTTAACCATTCTGGATGGTGGCACTAAATTTATTAAGCAACTCTACTACTCTGTCTCATAAAAATGTCAAGACATAATTTATAAAGAAGGTGATGAAATGATTAAAGACGAAAATATTGAATCCTCAAATAAGGGTTGGTCCTCATTAATTGTCGCATTAAGGAAACCTGATAGTAGTTATAGAGTTTGTTCAGATTTTAAAAAACTGAATAAAGTTACTATACCAGACGCATATACACTACCGAAAATAGATTCCATTCTTCATAAGTTAGGAAAATTAACATTTTTACCTTGGCTACATGGTAAATGCACATCGATTACACAGGCACACAAAAAAATAAAAAAGTCAAAATCCAGAGGTTGCTCCCCCCTATCCCCATGTTTTTGGGGTCGCTGAAACCGAATATGACCATGAAAAATTTTTTTCATCGGCCATTTTCCCGCTACCTGCTCCCGGGAGTTAGAATTTCAGTTTAAAAAAAGCGGAGTAGGGTGTCTATTCTTATGTTTTTTGGGTCGCTAAAACCAAGAAAGACTACCAAAAACAAATTCTTCCCTCCCTTAACCCCTACAACCCCCTTAACAACCCCGGGGTGAGGGGTCAAAATTTGAATTTTTACGAAAAGTCGATTACGGGGTCTAAACCTACGTTTTTTGGGACGCTGAAACCAAAAAAGACTATTAAAATCAAATCCTTTCCACCCCGACCCCCTACAACCCCCTGCAATAATGTTTTTCGAATAAAACGAACCGATTTTTGGGAAATTGAAAATTAAATATTAATTATCAAAAATTATTGCAGGGGGTTGTAGGGGGTCGACGGTGGAAAGGATTTGATTTTGGTAGTCTTTTTTTGGTTTCAGCGACCCCAAAAATATGGGGATAGGGGGGTGTGACCTCTGGGTTTTGACTTTTTTATTTTTTTGTGTGCCTGTGTTATTAGTAGACTTTCATAAAACTGAACCAATAATGAACTATCCTGCTCCGAAAAAATTTAAAGAACTTAGGAAATTCTTAGGAATGACTAGTTGATATAGAAGGTTCATTCAAAATTTCGCTTCTATTGTGGCCCCTTGAATATTCTTCTGTATGAAAAACAACGTTGGCAATGGACTGATCTTCAAAATTTTTTGTTTAATAATTTCAATCAATGTTTAATAAATTGATTCATTCTTTTGACACCTGATTTTAATTACGAATTGTTTGGCTGACTGCAACAGGTGAGAAGATCAAAGTGTCATTTTAAGAACTTATAATTAATTCAGGGGCACCCCTCAAGCCTTGCACACGGACAACGAAACTGATTATACTTAGACCATTGACATAGTTAGGTATACTTAGGTCATTGACAGCAGAATTAAATATAGTCCATACAATCTCTCCTCCATACCGTTCTCAGAAAAGCCCTGTCGAAAGGGTTAAGGGTTAAGGCCACTGTAGAATTTTCAAAACATAAATTTTTTTTTATTATTTTTTTATTTATTGTCTTCGACGACAATGAACATAGCAATTTTCTTCAAGTGTAGTTTTTTCTTGGTAACTTTTTGGAAATTTTTTTGAACATTTCCCATCAATTAAACACCAATCTCCACAACCTAAGTAGAAATGAATGTCTGGATCTATTCATGGCCCATCCCAGGAAACCACATTCCACCCATGGGCCATCCGTGGAAGCCATTTATGTCCCATCTGAGTTTTGAAACCTTGCGCCGCACTTTTTTCTGACGATTACAAATTTAATAATTATTTATCCAAACATTACTCGACGTCCTTATTCGCCGCCTTGGCTGTCTGGTTGTTATAGGAAACATAACCGAGAGCGTAAATAATACTATTATTAATATTTAAGAGGTAAAATAATATTATGTTTATTGATTTAATTATTATAAGGAAAAAATTTGTATAATTTATAACCGCCGGAAAAAATATTAACCCATTCTTACCATAATTTGTTTGTTCACTTAAAAGGTATTATCTCTGAAAGGGTTTTAATAATAAGAATAATTTTTACCGTTTGAAAATACAAAATGAGGATGCCACATTCTAACCTTTCGTATTGTGCTCTAGGTATAAAAACAACGTCATCTACAAGGAAGTTTTGTCAAATTAAGAGAATTATACCCTTTTAAGAGTAAGTAGATGATTGTCGTCATCCTGACCGCTTTTTATTGCGCTCTGGGTTAGAAAACAACGTCATCTTTGAAAAACTTTGTATAAAATAACAGAATCTTACAACTCCAAATAAAAGGAAAAGGTCGCCGTCATCCTGATCACTTACTATGGTGATTTTGATTAGAAAACGTCATCTTTGGGAAAGTTTAGAGAATTCACACCCTTTTTACCGCAAAATCTTGTTTATCGTTATATAAACCACAAATCATATTAATACCTATTTAAAAATGAAAAATAACCTTATATTTCTTAATTTCATCTAATAAGTATGACAATTCAGTTTTTTCCGTGTATATGTACAAAAAATTAAACAAAGTAAAATTTCAAATAAATAAAAAACTCTTTTATCAAGTAAGTTAGATTTATTCAACGATTTGTAATTGTTAAACAAAAACTTTTAAATATTATGTTAACTACACAACATTTGCAAAAATTAATAATAATCATTTTCTATTTATAAAAATTTTTTGTATTATCTGCACTTGAAGGGGTAAAATTCTCTTATTTTACAAAAATTTCCTCGAAGATGACGTTGTTGTATAACCTAGAACACCATCGAAAGTGGTCGGTATGACAGTGATAATTAATTTCCACTTAAAAGTGTAAAATTATTGTACTTCAATAAAAATTCTTCGAAGAAGACGTTTATTTCTAACCTAGAATACAATAGGAAAAGATCAGGATGACAGCGATAATTTATTTGTATTTTGAGAATTGATATTCTATTAATTTGACAAAACTTCCTCGCAGATGATATTGCTTTCACACCTAGAGCACAATATGAAAATGCTAGGACGGTGGCATCCTTATTCTGCATTTGCAAAAGGTAACAACTTTTCTCCTATTTATCAAATCCCACACCGAGATAACAAATTTCTCATGACTAAATTATCGCAAGAAGGTGTTAGGCAGTGTTTGCCCGGATGTTAGAAATAACAAAAAAGTTTTAATTCTGATAAACAGTTTCACAAAAAAAATATTATTTTACATCATAAATATTGGTGACAACCAGAGATGTTAAAAATGGGTCTTAAAACCTATTTTAAATGCTAAATAGTAAATGGTATCACAAAAAGTATTTCAAATATAAAATATAAAATAGTTTTCAAAAAGTTTCTTCAAATGCAAAATAGAAAATACGCATTTTCAAAATGGTTTTACAAAATAAAATGCTTTTTTTTAAATGAACTTTATTTTTACGTAACTTTTTGACTTTTCCATAAAATAAGATTGTATCCCTTATGAAACTGTTTTATATATTATTCTATTAATTTGACTTTATACAATAAACTACTTTTTTGAAAAAATTGTAAGAAAACTTTGTCAGCAATGAAATAAAATATCTCATTTTCGAATGCTTGATGTGAAATCCTATGTAAATATTGAAACTTTGAACCTGAAAATTTCCGTTTTTAGTATGTAGAAATGAATATTTTCCAATAAAGTTTGGTAAAATTTAAAAGAAAATGAATTAGCTGAAGAATCTCCTTAAAAGAAAAAATTGCTACAATATAAAAAAAAATTTTCTTGTATTTTGCATTTTCAAATACAAAATAATGAAAAAAACCATTTCAAATAAAAATGCAAAATGGTTTTCGGCAAATGCATTTAAAATGTAAAATGAAAATAGGCATTTTGCCTTTTCTATTTTGCATTTGAAATAGATTTATTTGAAATAGTTAACATCTCTGGTGACAACATTATTTATGCTTTCAGTTGCGTATTTTAATAGATAGATAACCTCGGCGTTGAAAAATGGTGATGAATAATATTTGGATAAATAATTATTAAATTTTTAATCGTCGGGAAAAAGTGCGGCGCAAGGTTTCAAATGGGTTTCAGATGGGCCATGGATGGTTTCCACGGATGGCCCATGGATAAGCCTGTGGCAAAGCTAGGAAAATTTCTACTTCGGAAGGTCCGTGAATATTATTTTGCATTATTATTTTATGTGAAAAAGGATTGATATTTTCATCAGGAATTTCTGCAGAAATATAACGATCAACACTTTCAACTGTTAATATATTTTAGAATTTTCTTTCAATATAACTAACAAATGAATGTGTGGCAATCCTCGCTTTTGAAATTCAATAACATAAACATAAGATTTGACTTCTCCAAATAATTTATTATCAACAATAAGTTTAAATAGATGTTTTAGTTTTAATGCGAAAACCCTAGTTACGATATCAGGTCTATCAGCAGCAGTTTGACAGGGGAATAAATTTTCCTGTATCTCTTTCCAATTTGGATTACACGTCATTGTGATAAATAAATCTAGTCTACCATGACGAGCAACAATAGCCATCGAATCCTGATATTGTTGCATCATATTGCGAGGTGATCCTATAAAAGTAGAAGGCAATATAAGCGTTTTTCCCACGTGCACATCATTTTCCAACTCATGATTGTGTAAATAATCCATCAGTCCTTTATATGTTTCACTTCTCAATTGAGCTTGATTATTTGCACAAAATCTTAATCTATCTTTTTTTATTTTTACATAATTGTCAACCACCTATTGTTAAAACAATCTACCTCCATATAAAAATTGATTAAATTCTTTATCTCTTACAGCAATTTTGTATTAAATTTAGGCAGACCTAGAAATAGTATGATTTCTACTTCTGTAATCACTATTAAAATATCACTACGAATCATAATAATATTATAACCCTTATTTCCAAGTGGATAAAATATGGGATAAATTCATGGTTCAACATTCGGATCTAAATTACTAACCAATTTCAATTCATTTCTAGATTTATTATAAACCGTTACATAAGATTCCGGTGTTTCTCCTTCAGAGTTTGTATTAAAAATTACAGCAACTTCATTAAAACTTTGCAAATTGTATCTATTTTATCAAAGCCTTTTTCAACGTAAACAATAGTTGTAACTCAGGAATTCCTTAATTTTTTTGTCTTGCTAATTCAGCTTCTATTTAAATTACCTCTGACATCATCATGTAAGATTTTGTGTATGCATTAGTATTTCTTACAATATTTTCTATAGATTTTAAACCGTCTTCATCCAAATTTTCGTTACTTTTTAATCTGTATCTGATAAATTCCTCAGGGTCATAAATAAATAATTGACTAAAACATGGATCCTCACCTTTATCCGGATATAAAGCACTATTAATTTAATAGTAAATTTGACCTTGGATTTTGTAACAGAATGGTCCTCTTCTTCTGCCATTAAAATTAATTACATTGGCATTTAAAGATGCAAAAGAAAAAGAATTATTATACAGCCTTTTATTCTTTTTAAAATGACCTGATTTTTTATAAAACCCTTCTAACAAAAGCCTTAATTCGTCTGGATATTGTATTGAAGTGAACACAACACCTTCATGACTACGACAGTCATTAAAACTAACTTTTGTACCAGCAACTTTTTCATCTTTAAAATGTTTAGCTTGACAATGTGTGCAGTAATAATTTATCGGACCTAGATAATTTTTAACATTCAACTCATTTTGAATTTGCTGATTTAATACTCCTTCACAAAAATTTCTTTGACATCGAGTATTCTTTGTTTTTGATAAAGAACTTGTAACACTATTTTTATTTTTTAATTTAAGGTTCTCAGCATATTCTATTTTGGATTCGACTTGAAGTTTTTTCTTAGTTGATGTGTGTTTTTCACCTAAATAATTTACGTTATCAATTGTACGTTTTAATTTTTGCCTCTCACGATAATTTTTTTGAATTTCAGCCCTACTTTCTTTAAGTGTTTTTGATTCAATATTTTCTTCATTTATTTCATCTATTATTCTCGGAAAGGAAATGGATGTGTATGCTTTGTCTGAATAATTTTCATTATGAATTTTACGTTTTAGTTTTTGCCTCTCACGATAATTTTTTTGAATTTCATCCCTACTTTGTTTAACTGTTGTTGATGCAATATTCCCTTTATTTATTTTATTTATTATTCTCGGGAAAGAAATGGAAGTGTGTGCTTCCTCTGAATAATTTGCATTATCAATTTTACGCTTTAATTTTTGCCTCTCACGATAACTTTTTTGAATTTCAGCCCTACTTTGTTTAAGTGTTGTTGATGCAATATTTCCTTTGTTTATTTCATTTATTATTCTCGGGAAAGAAATTTCTTTCTTAATAGAGTTTTTAGAAAAGTTTGATTCTCTATACTGACCCGGTAAAAAGAGGTTGATTAAAATAGATTAAAATGTTTACAAAAAATTTCAAAAATGACATTGGTTTGGCATTAAAAGCATATTGAATTTTGACCATATATGCAGTCATTTTAATGCATTTTATTACCTTTTCATTAAAATAAATTAAAGTGTCAGCAATATGTAAGTCATAAATGGAATTCTAATGATTACAAATTTTATGGTATTAAACAGAATAAAATTGTTTTCAATTCTAATTACTCAATAAGAAGTAAAATGTATACCGAATTAAATAGAATATAAATGTGTGTAGATCAATTATCTTTAAAGGAATTAAAACATGAAAGTACAAAAATGACATGAGTTTGGCATTAAAATGATTCAGAATTTAGCGATATTTGTATACATTTTAATCTATTTTATTCAACCTCTTCTTACCGGGGAAGTTAAATATCTTTTTTATTTAAAAGATAATTCCAGTCATACACAACTATACAAGATCTACTATTAGAAAGTTGAACAGAGAGAAATTTACATAAACTATTGTTTTCGAACATTAACATTAAATGATTTCTCATATTACAATAATAGTAATTGACAGAGTGGGGCATAATATTAAAAAACAACGTTTGAATGCTATTGCATATACTCCACAAGAAAGACTGTATTCTGGTTGTTGATCAACAGTTGTGAAAACTACTGGTGGTTCAAAATGATATAATCTAATTAAATAATCTCTTTGATAATGATTTAAACATTTTTTATTAAGACTATCAAAAATGTAAAGGCTTATTCCATCATAATAAGTACAAATCCAATGACCAGATTTATAAGATCCACTAAAAAGTATTTGAATGTGCTACTTACTTTTCTCGATTGGAACTATCAAATCAAATGTTTGTAAACACAAAGTATTTTGCATATTATAAAAAAAATTTGATTGTCTTCTCAATAGCTTTTGAAATTCATACATATGATCATTATTAAGCATTGCTCCTTCAGTGACAAATGAAAGAGTTATTTTTTCCCTAAGGAAAAAATAACTCGCGCGGGTGTAGAATGAAGGGAGTTGAAAATTAACTTTCTTTTGGAGTTGATTTTTAACTCGAAAAACTTCACTCCCAACTCCCGAGTCCGTTAACTTTCTAAATTTTTTACAGTGTAGTAATAGTGTAGAAAAATGGAATAGTCAATTAAAAATATTAGGGTGTTGTGGGGTGATGTGCAACACCGTCGATTTCTGATATACAGTTCGATATTGAACAGAGCCAAGTATTGCCATTTGTTTGTGTCTTTTTTCTTTTTTATACTTTACGTGCCATAACAGCGATTCACATGATAAATATAAAATTTTGAGTTATTTTCCTTTAATTATATTCCTTATTCAGTTATAAATAAATAAAAAATGAAACAAAAAAATTTATTTTCTTTGGTGAAATCTCCACTTTTTAAAGGTCAACTATACCTTAGTAATTTTTTTAGCAGATTTTGATTAGTTTGCACTGAAAAAGCCTAAAATTAATAATTAAAGAGATTTTCATCGATATTTATGCATTACATACCTGAATTTTACTCGTGTTGCACAACACCCCAACTTTTTTGGAAAATGCAAAAACAGACATTTTTGAAAAAGCGAAAAATTTGTAAGAAAAATTTAAAATTCTGAAAATCCAATAATGCAGAAATATTCTATTATAATGCCTCTAAGTCATTCAGTTTTTAAATATTTAAAAATTTAATTATTTGACATGTTTTTCGTCCAACGAAAAAAAACGTTGCACATCACCCCATAGCACCCTAATATTTATTGAATTTAGATGTAATTTTCGAATTAGGGGTATCTATCCGCACTTTACCCTAACACAATAAATTTGAATGTTATCTACCCAAAAACTATATGAAAGCATTAAACATAAAAATGATGATACTGACATTTTCAGTGAAAAAGGAAACACTGTTTAACAAGGTGAATACATACTCTTATTCAAGGATGGCACTGCAAATGATAGTGAAATGCTCGGAAATGTCGCTATATTCCACGCTTCTATACACTGAGAAAACATTATACTTAATTCAAATTAAAAAATAATTTAAAGTGATTTTGTTTAATTAAAATTAGTTTGTAAGCTTAATCCCAATATATAGAAAATATCTACTGCTTTGGTTAAAAAATATTATTTGTTTGAATAATTATTATGTTTAATTCAAATATATTCTCTGTTTTGATTTAAACAAAAATTATGTTTCAAAATTTTATGTTTGATTCAAACTTAAAAATTGATTATAAATAATTTAAAATCAACCAAAACTTATGTTAGAATTAAATATATTATTTCTTTAAATGGACCAAAAAATATGTTTCAATTAAATTTAAATATGTTTGACTGTATACCAAAGATATTTTAAGTTTGATTTAAACAAAATATGTTTGAATGAAATAAATTATATTCTAAGTGTAGGGTGTTTACAAGGAACACGCTGTGAGCGCTCTGAGCATGGGATATGCTCTTCTAACCCCATTGAATATAGAAAAAGATAAACTAATGCTCATAGCGCTCACATCATGCCCTCGGAAACACCCATAGTGTGCAATGTCTTCGAACATTCAAATTTCTCTCCGTGTATCCGGCACGACAGGGTTTGTGCAAACAGGGGATCAATTATGTAATTTGATTTGACTTTGATTCGATTAATATGCGTGCGCTAACAATCATAATGTTCAGGTTGTACAACTATTTGGTATAAAATAGTGGTATAAAAGCCTCATAGAAAACACTTAAAATCCTTCTTGGTACACAATGGAAGACAAACTAGGTTCTACTATTTTTCTAATAGGTTTTTATCTCAATTAGGAATGTACAAGGTTTTAATATGTTCTTAATAGGTTGAAAAAATAATAGTTCAGAAGGTTCCTAATGTTTTCTACAAGGTTCCTATGAGTGCAAAATACTCTCTAAATTTGAATTAGTAAAAATGTTTACTAATTTGAATTAGTAAAAATATTTACTAATTTGAATTAGTGACTAACTTTTTACTTTTAGATTAGTAAATTTTACTAATAAATAGTCATTTATACTAATTTATTAGTAAAATTTACTAATTCAAAAGTAAAAAGTCAGTCACTAATTCAAATTAATAAAAATTTTTACTATTTCAAATTTAGAGAGTAATCATAAAATATTCTACGAGGTTAAACAATGTTTTTAATGTAAAATGAAAATAATATTTTGACAATAGGAAAATTGTATTTCAAGATGAATTTAACCCTTAAACCGCACCCTGGGTGTGCGAAACCCATATTCCAGCTTTTTACTTTAATATTTCGGTTAAATTCGTAAAAATTGAACATGTGTTGATATTAGACGGTACATTTTGTACTT